CTGGCTTCCCCATTGGCTTTGCTTTTCAGGAGATTGTAAAAGGTGCTGACATGAGCCTGGAACTCCGCAACAGTCATAAGTATGAGTCAAATTCAATGTCTGAATTTTTAACACCTGACTGGAGTTGATGCTGCAATGGTCATAAATATGAAAAACAGTCATAAGTCACTTTTTTCAGTGCCTTTGAACAATCACTAAATAATTATATGTCAAGGACTAACCATATAAGAAAATATGACAGTCTGTAGAGATTCTGTCATGCCCCCGTCGCAGTCTGAATCTGAGGGGGAAGACGAACAGCTGACAGAGAGTGGGAGAGTGGCTCCATTGGCTATGGAGGAAACTGGGGAAGGGCAAAGTCAGGCTGGGCAGAGCAGGGGAGAGGTAGAACAAGGGAGAAGGGGTTCAAATGAAAATCAAAGCCCACCCTCTCCTCATCGTAGGGCATGCAGGGAAGAATGCAGAAGAGAGCAATGTGGGTTGCGTGGCTTTCAAGGAAGGAAAGGGCCCCAATTCCCTTCACAAGGCACACCTGGGAATGGAGTTTAAAGGAGAGGCAGTTGGGAGGGATGTTTGTCAGGAACAAACACTGAATTCATCTGGTGTTGTGAATTTTAGCCTGCGTGCCTGGCATTCCTTTTGTCTGTGTGAATTATTGCCATGCTTCTGTGTGCTTATCTTGCCTCGTTGGAATTATTGGACTCATTATCTTGCCTGCTGGAGTGATTGATTGCAGTCATTCTGCTTACAGCATTTGGATTGGAGTATCTGCAGCCAGAGGCTGTAATAGGTTCATTGGAGAGCTTTTCTCCAGGCCAGAGAGTAAATGGGACATTGGGGACAAAGTTGGAGCAAATAAAGGGATCCATACCTATTCTTCAGCTGTGTTGCCTTCATGCCACTCCCTGGGTGATCACAGATTCTCAGTCATCCAGGTCATGGTTATCCCAAAGGTGCTTTTTTAGGAGGCAACTGGACTTTCTTGTTTGTTCTTTGAAGACGATTTGCTTCTCATCCAAGAAGTTTCTTCAGCTCTGATAGAATAATGGGGAATGGAAGGATTTATATTCCTTACAGACAGCTGGTCATTTGCATACTTTTAGAGGGTTGTTGAAACACTTGGAGGTTTATCTGTGTCCTCAGGGTCACCTGAGTAGTGCTCCTGGTTCCTGTAGTCTGCAATCCCTCTGGAAATTTGTTCATACTTCCACACAAGAAAGTATGACCTTAGCCCTAATTTTGCTTGCATGTTTATCATACAAAACATGTCTCTGGATTAAATGAAATCCTGGCGTTTCTATTTCCAATATCGAACAAGTGTCAGACAGAAACCTTGGGTTGCTTTCAAACATGGTATCAAGGTCAAACTTCATTTGCTTATATTGGGTATACAGTAGAGGTGTATTTCTTCTCTACTTAAAACCTTATTTTAGCTATCATGCTTGGGACTCCATTGATAAGCTTATATAGTGTCTGACTATTCTTACTTTGAGTTCTCTTATGGTAGTGAATTCCATTTCTTAATAGTATTTCCTGACTTTAATCCAGATTCAGCTTCTTTGAATGATTTAAAGTTTTAATATTATAAGACTTGTGGATCCACTATTATCAGTTTCTTTCTGCATAGTGTAGCTTCAGTAAGATTTTAATATATGCATGAAAAGTTGCACATGCTCTGTGCAAGGAGCATAACTAACTTTAACTAGTATGACCAAAATACTAGCATATAGCACTAGCCTTAAGCAGCATGACCAACACTGTAGCATTAACTAACATGACCAACATTCATACATATTTATAGTGAGAAAATATTCTATTTTATAGCCGGAACCTCTGTGATAGCTTTATAAGAGTTCTAGGAGTTGAGATAGAAAGGATTTTGTAGATTGAATAGATACTAAGAAATAATGGAACAAATGTGGCCATTTCTAAGAGAAATCAAACCACTGGTGGTTAATGTTGGTGGCTAGCTAATATTAGTTTTAGTTGGTCATATTAATAGGAGTCCATAGAAATTAGATTTGGCCCACTTCAGCTGCATTAAAAATAAAACAAAATAAAAAGTATACATTATACTTTAAAGCAAATTTTATTGATGTTTCTAACACTGGCAAATTTTAATGAAGAAATTTAAACATTTTGTCTAATGTGGAAATATTAAAAAGTTCATTATAAAACAATAGCCAGTAATATAAATGTGGTTGGTGATTCTCCTAAGAAAGGTTAACAAGTTGAAAGTCAAATTAAAAACACAGTGGTACTTAAAAATCAAAATTACTGTGCCTTAAGCATTTTTAACTCCACCCCCATGCCATTGCTTATAAGCATGTGCATAGCCATGTTCTTCAGATGATAGGAGGTTCTGGTCAAAGTGGTGAAGGCTTCTAGAGTTTCTCTGCCCCTTCCTTTTCTGGAGAGGCCTGCTGTTTTGGTTGACTTCTTTGCTTTCCAGATGTTTTATGTGAAGCTGTGTTTCTTTCATCTCAAATTTTGATGGCATCTATGCCCATTATCATGCAATTTGCCTTGGTATCAGAAAAACAAAATTCCACATCTAACCAGGAGCAAATGATCATCTTGGTTTTTAACCAGCTTTGTTTTCATTTGTATGTAATATTGAATCTTGAAAGATCTACAAAAAGGAGTTCGGTATTTTTATTATATTAGGTTTTCTCGAACCTGATCCTCCAGGTATCTTGGGCCTCACTTCCAGGGGTGGGATTCTACCAGTTCACACCTATTCGCTAGAACCGATTGTTAACATTCTAAGCAGTTTGGAGAACCGGTTGTTAGAAGAAATTATTGGCCTAATCCTGTAAGGAAGACAGGAAGGAAACATTCTGGTGTTGCTTACAGAAACTGCCTCTCTGTTAACCCTTATTACATTCTTGGCACGACCAGACTTCCTGTCTCAAGAACTTCTCTGGACTTTTCCAGAGAACTTTTCTCCCTCCTTTGCTGGTACTTTGCTTGTGTGGAGTGACCATTGTAAAAAGTGATTTATGACCATTTTTCATACTTACGACTGTTGTAGTATGCCCACAGTCACAGGCCAGGTGAGGAGATGCATGCCTCGATGTGAATGATGTTGAGTTGGCCACGCCCAGCCAGTAACATGACCACCAAGCCATGTCCACCCAGTCATATGACCACCAACTAAGCCACGCCCACAGAACCGGTTGTTAAAAAATTTGAATCCCACCTCTGCTCACTTCTTATAAAGTCTGGTCAGATAAACAGTATTGTCTTTGGATTATGGGAAGTGAAGTCCAACAGATTCACAACCTAAAGATTATGAGTTGAGAAAGCTTGCTTCTGTGATAAAGTATTTAAATAGTGTAAAATAGTGATGCAGTGAATTGACTGGAGTTAATCAAGGACCCCAGAAACTATATAACTTGTAAAAATCTCAATGGAACATGCAGATTTAAGCAATGTGTAAGAGATCACTTATTTTTCACTTAATCCATGTATGCTATAATAGAATGCAACACTGACCATATCATAACACAAAGTGAACTTAAAGATATTCACAAGTAGGATGTGCTTTACAAGAGACAGCTGATTAAAACTAGTCTAACTGAAAGCTTTTGAATGGGAGAGCTGAGTGATGAGGCATAAAGAGGTAATACAGAGTAATCTTATGAATTTACCTTGAGGAGAACAGGTAGTTCTCAGTTTAGGATCCTAATTGAGCCACAATTTTGGTCACAAGCTGTGACAGTCATAAAGGGTGAAAACACATAACCAGACCTGATTTTATGAACTTTTTTGCAGTGACACTTTATTTGGAAATAAATGCTGATTCCGGAAAAAATGTAAATTGCAGTCAGTATGACATGGATGGTGCAAATAGTCAAAAATGTGGGTTGGTTGTTGAGTGCCCAAAATGCAGTCATATGACAGTAGGCAGGTTGACATAAGAACTTTCAGTCCAGGATATAAGTAGTTTTACTATTTTTTGCATTTTATTATTTGTTACTAGTAGCTTTTTTCTTGAATATTGAACTTAAGTTACGTATGTTTATAGTAACATTTTTAATATTACAATATTCCATATCTTTTGGCTGTCTTTAATTTTTTTGTAAACTATAAAGATGTAGAAGTTATAATGCATAAATTTGCTGAAAGACTTCCTAGTGCATAGGTATATAATGCAATTGAGTATTGTATATTCTTATTTTTCTTCTAAGACGCTGATATCTACAAGAAATAGCATTCTCTATGCTGATTTAGAACAAGATGTTTGTGAAGCTGTCTCTTTTAGGAACTTTAGATTGTTAGTTTGGGATTGTGAGATGAATGTAAAAATATTTCACAATTTATTTATTTGCTGTTTTATCTACTACATTGCTACTGATACAACATTCTATACTATTCCATTATCTACATTTTATCTACTGCTTAATGATCACATATGTAATGGCGTTAATTACACTACTTACAATTTTAAAATATATCATTTATCCATGTATTAATTTGGCTTTTTTAAAACTAGAAGCTGGTTTAAGCAAGCTATAATTTAAAAATAAGCAATCAAATGATATCACTCTTAGTGTTCATAGTTAATGTATATCCATATGCTTGAACTGCAGAGAATATTTTATATAAAAGTTTCAAATCAATTAATTAGGCTTTGAAAGATGATTCAATGAGAGAGTAGGATCCCCACAGAAATCTGTATGATTCCCTCCCTGGTGTTATTCAGAAAGTCACTGAAAACTTGGCTGATCTCCCAGGCAAGGTGGTAGTTGAGTCTCTGTTTTGCTTGTTACAGAAAATCTGCGCTCTGGATGTATAGTATCAGTTTCTCTCTCTCTTTTTAAATTGTTTGTGCTTTTTTAAGTTGAAGCCACCCAGAGTTATGTCCTTAAAATTCTATTAAATAGTATTAAATAAAGTATTATATTACTTAGACTTTCTGAAGTCAAGTTCACAGACCCTAAGAATGCTTATGAGGTAAGATTTTTGAGTGTCCTTTTTCTCCCTTTCTTTCCTAGGTGTTTACGAAATATGGGAAATGCTACATGTTTAACTCAGGAGAAGAGGGACATCCACTGTTGACCACATTCAAGGGTGGGACAGGCAATGGATTGGAGATAATGCTGGACATTCAGCAAGATGAGTACTTGCCAATATGGGGAGAAACAGGTGAGAGAGAAAAAATATTTATTCTGTTTATCTGTTGCCATATTCTTCATTCATACTTGCTGATCTTCAGAGTTAAAAATAAGAAGTTGTATCAACATAGTCCAGTATAATGGAATTGCAGTTCCTATACTTCCCAGATTCCAGCAAATGTAAAGTTTCTTTTAAGTCAAATTTGCCTCTTTGTGGTTTATTTAATCCATGTAGGATTTCTTTATCCCATCTGTATTCCTTAATAAGTAACTCAAGGTGATGAACATACATAAATACTACCTCCTTCTCCTATTTTCTCCATAACAAGAACCCTGAGTTGTGCTGTGCTGAGAAAGAATGACTGGCCCAAAATCACTCAGCCAGTTTTCACGCCTACAGTAAGTAAGACTAAAATGCATAGTCTACCAGGCCATTCTCTTAACCTGCTCTCAATAAAGGTGTTTTTTTTTTTTTTGCAAACGATACATACATGATTCACCAGTATCTTCTTTCAAAATATTTCCAGTTCAGCTATAGCCATGATATTCCCTGATAATCTTGTCACCTAAGTGTTAATCAGGCCATACCCTACATAATTTCCAAATTAGATAAGATCAGACTGATACTATTACCGGCTCAGAGTGCCTCCCATTTTTATGCTATTAAAATTACAGCAAGGACATGTAAAGTCAGTTCGTCCTGTTCCCAGCTATGACTATCACACATATCTGGAAAATTCTGAAACAAAACATATCAGAGACAAATGCTCCTTATGTATCTCCAGCATTTCATATTCAACAACATACTCCTCTCACAACCAAACCTAGAGCCCATTTGAATTTATCACAATTGGGTCCTAAATATATTCCAGGTGTTTGGAAGGTATAAATAAATAGTGGGGAACTGATACAATCCTGATTTAAATGTTAGATCCTTTCTCCTATTAGAAAATTGATAGCCAACATTGAAATGCAGTTAGTTATTTCAATGCAGTTCTCTGAATAAAACATTCATGGAAAAGGTTACATAAATGTGCATGCATTTCTGAAAAAGGACAACACAGCATTTCATTAAATAATTTTTATTGCTATTATTTTATCATCAGCCGATCTGAAAATAGACTAGAATAACCTTGATGGTAAGAAAATATAGAATATGAAAACAAACAGAGAAAATTTTCTTATTCCTAATTATTACCATGGTGGGAGTTTGATAACATCTTATATATAGGAAATGTTCAACTTATGACCACAATTGGGATCAGAATTTCTGTTGCTAAGTGACAGTTGTTCAGTGAGTTACTCCTGATTTTTTTGCCGTGGTTATTAAATGAATCACTGCAGTTGTTAAGTAAATCATAAAGTTATTAAATAAGTCCAGCTTTCCCACTGATTTTTCTTGACAAAAGCCGGCTGGAAAGGTAGCAAATGATGATCACATGACCCCAGTATGATCAACCAATACAAATACATCCTGATTGCCAAGTGCTAAAATTTTGATCACGTGGGGATACTACAATGGTCATAATCACAATTATTGGTCATAAGTCACTTTTTACAGTGCTGTTCTAACTTCACATGGTTGCTAAATGAATGGTTATAAGTTGAGTACCACCTGTAAGCAAAAATAGATATGGTTTACTCTGTGCTATTATTTATTCTATTTTTTTTTTCTTTGAATGATTTACAATTATCCGACATTGTTTAAGAGGAACAAGAATTTGAATCCGGTTCTTCCCATTTTAAAAGCAACACTGTCATTTTACACATTATCATCAATAGAATTTAAACCTCAAAGCAGAAATCCAAAATAGTTTCATATATATTAGGCATATATTGACTTTTTCTTCAATAAAGGTAGTAGTTAGCATTTGAAAGTGACAGTGGACAGGTGCTTTCTTTAAGATATCTCTCTGCTCTGCCAGAGGAGCAATCAGGTTTTAATATTAGCAGCACAAGAATAACAGCAGTGTACAGAGATGATTTTATCCTTGTGGTGCAGAAGACAGCTATGTGGACTGTTATGTGAATTTTTCAGTCAGTACACATTATACCCCTGCTCTGTGAGCTTCACTGATTACCAATATGCTTCTGGTTTTAATTCAAGGTGCTGATGATCTATAAAACCCTTCATGACGTGGTAGCAAATTTTTTGAGGAACTACTCTCCCAATTAAACCTCTCTTATTAGGTCTGATGGAAGACACATGCTCTGAGTGCTTTCTGTTAGGGAATGTCCACTGGAAAATTCGTCCTTCCAAAGATTAGATTGCCCAAAACTACCGGCTTTTCATAAAGCCTGAAAGATGTGGTTTTACCTCTGGAGATTTGAGAATGCAGTAGAACCTCTACCATGGTTATATATTGATTGTTGGTAGTGTTTTTTTAATACTTCAATGACTGATTTGTTGCATGGATTCTATATGAATATTATATATATATATATATATATATATATATTATATTATATATGATTCTAAACTCAAGCATTTTCTTACCTAAGAGGAGAATGTCATGTACAAAGAAGAACTGATTCCTAAACATATGCAAAAAGTCAAGCTTAAAGGAGTATTTTTGGAGAACCTAAACATGAGTGTGTGGATAGACATAGTAGTAATTATCTTATTTGTTATCGTTTTGTCTTGCCCTTTCTTGGAAAACACATGCAAGAGAAATAGATTAGAAATTGGCTGTTATTTGACCAAGTTGCCAATGACTTTCATGACTGATCTGGAATTTAATTTCATATCTTTCCTATCTGTGCTTATTCTGCTGATGACACCAACTTGTCACCACAGGAATTGAAAATATTAGGAATAGACAAGATGTTGAAAGTACTTGATCAGATCTCCCACTTCTTTAATTTTATTTAAAAGCTGTTAAGGGAGTATATGTGTGGTGAGTTGGGACTCGCATTATAGGGAAAAGCAATTTAATTCTTTCTTCATCCTGTTTCCCAGATGTAACTCTGGCCTCTCTCCTTTTGAGTTATGTGTTATGCTACAAAAATATATTAGATAAATTATTTTAAAAACAGTGTAAACAATCAGAGGGCCCAGTTACTGATCTTCAATATCTTTAAATTGTCCTTGTGCTATGGAAAAATTAACCAGGGTGGAATATTTCCCCAACAGGATTCCAAAAGCAATTTAGGCTGGCAATACTGGTAGCTGATGATAAGAACTTCTAAATCCTATCAATTACTCTGCCTTTGCTTTGCATTATAAGGCAGCCATGAGTTCCTTCTTTCTAGCTACTGTAGACTGGACTAAAATCAGGAGTTGCATCTCTCAAGCAATGTGCTCTGTGCAACTCCAAAACATCTGAGTATTCTTACAAGGAGTAAGAAATTTAATGTGAAATATGAAGTCTCCCAGGCCTGGGAATATAATGATCCCTGGAATCAGTTCCTTATCTGTTCATGACTCTAGAATTGTTGTGCTGTTTCAGTCTGAACAGCTTGTTTGCAAAGAAGACCATTAGGGGTTTTCTCTTTCTTTCTAAGTGCTTTGGTTTTTTTTAAGTGCTGTCTTCTACTCTCTACCATTAGAAACTGCTTTCTGAACAGTCTAATCTAGGTCTATAACTCTGAAAGCCATCCTTTGTGCCCTACGTCTGGCTCATCAAAAATTCCATTAGGTGAAGGTATTCCAAATTGGATTTTTTTATCTTTTTGCAGAGGTAAGCATTCTCTCCAAACTTACAAATGATGCATAATTGATCATCTTATACACATACAGTATATGCATGCAACACATGTACTTACATGTACGCATGCATATATTGATAAAAGTATTCAGCAGTGTTGGTTGCCATAACAACATATACTTTGGTACAGAATTGAGGAGATCCAAATACTAGCATCAAAATATGTCATGACAATCGATGCCCTTTTTTTTTCTTTCCCCCCTCTCCCTGAGATTTTAGGTGTTGGCTTATGGACAAAACAAGATTTGAATCTCTTGAAAATACAAGGAAGATGATAATGTATAAGACTCTGGATTTTTCAGTTTGGCAATATATCTCTTTTGATATTGTTATCAAAGGAAGGGACTATTTAAAGTTTGGGAGTATTATAATTTCTATTTCTATCCTTCCCCAAAGGGGAGAAGTGTATCAGCTTGCTTTATATGGCTATTTGTTTTTGTCATGGATATCAGTATTTGGCGATAAGTCTGCATTACAGTTTGGAAAACTTTAACCCCTCTAAGATTATAGAACTACAAATCCCAATATTTTCAGCCTACTTGACCAATGATATGTTTAGCAAACTCCAAAGAACATAACATAATAAATCTTCATTCCCTCATTCCTTCTGTCCATGCATATTGAACAGCAACTGTCAACGCATATAATGTATCAGTATGGGAAAATTCTAGTTGGTATTCATAATTTTTTGAATATGTGGCTTGTGCAACACAAATAATACAATGTCACAGTCTATAAAGAATTACATTATATATGTAGAACAGCTTTTGTGCTGTCTGATGAAAAGCAAAAATTCGATAGAGGTACCTTTCTCCAGTATGTTTGTGCAGGGATGGGAAAAGCTCCACCTGTGAATTTCCATTTTTATCCTGTCTTTATCCTTTAGGGGAGGGAATAGACTGAAAATACCTGAAAAGTTGGCAATTATAGCTCCACTGACTATGTAATTGAAAATAGGTAACCTATTGGGTTCCTTTTCAAAGAAAAATGAGACCTGAAATTGTTACCAGATCATAATTTTGCATACAAAAAATGTTCTCAGTTCTGTTCTTACTATCTCCAGAGAATTGCTGCTGGTGTTACTGACCTTCCATAAACTTTGGTGTGGTTTGGTTTGATTTGAAGTAGCTTCCTATCTGGGTTGGTTTGATTATTTGATTATTTGTGTCTCTGCTGATGATCTACAGCTTGTTTGGAAAGAAGTGGATTTGAAGGTCACAATCTATAAAGTCTCTGGCCCTTTCCCTTCCTTTTCTAAGGAATTTCAATTGAGGAAGCCACTCTATTTAGTCTCTGACAAATAAGCCAAGCCCCAATGAGGCAG